AAAGAGCGTCTTTTAGTTTTTCTGGAAGTTCTGTTGAAATCATCTTAGTTTTAAGAGCTTTGGATTTCAGGCCGCAACCAGGTGTCACCATCCCTTTAAAGTAAAAACGGATCCCAAATGAACCCTGCTGGCTTGCTACGGACCAGGAAATACGCAAATAGCTCCGCGGCTGTCTAGAGCTTGCATTAAAAGTCGGGATTTTTCTATAACTTTTGAATCCCAGAAAAATCCGAGCTGTCACCGTCCCTTTAAAGTATAGCCGGCTCCCTAATAATCTTTGCTAGCCAGCCTGGCACGGGCTCGGAGTACCAAAATCTACGCCTTGCTTCGTCTAGATCTCGACAGCGACCCAGGGTCTAGCCGGTATCACCATGTATTTGTCTAGACCTAGCCGATACAAGGGGTCGAAATCTAGGCTTCCTAGTCCCTTTAAAACCCGACAAAACGATTTTAATTTCACCACCCACCCTCCAAATTGACGTGTGGTGCCCCACCCTCAGAAGACCATGCTAAAGTGACGAGGGGTCGGCCGAGGGGAATTTATCGCAAAAATTCACGCTTCACCCTCTCTCTTTCTCTCTCTCTCTCTCTCTCTCTCTCTCTCTCTCTCTCTCTCCTCTCGCTCATTTCTCTCTAATTGCTATCAGCACGATGCAACACAGAGTCGCCGCGAAACTGACCCCTGCCAAGAAGTTGACGTGCTGGGTGCTTATCGCTAGAAATTACGTTGGGTCCGGGGCTGGCCCCCTATATAGAGCTCGGGAAATTGGGGGGCAGTGCTATCATTTTGCCCTGAGAAACGCTACACAACTAAATCAACCCACTTGCCATTAGCATGCTGAATCTACGGCCCGCCTGGTATACGGTGGGTAAAAGATTCGATTAAGGAGGTTCTGGATCAATTTTTTGAGCTTTTAAAGCTCAGCTGGAAAATTCTATCAGATAACCTGGTCTTAAAAGTACTACTAAGGCAAAAATCCAAATATCGATCCCTGGCGAGGTGCCAAAACAAATCTCACTCAACTTTTCGCCTTCCTTTCTAGTTCCGTCCGTTTATACCTTCATCGTCCTTTTAAACAATTTTCGTAGTCTTTTAGAGACAATTTGTTACAAATTCTTTTAAAGGTACATGGAAGGCAAAAATCCATAGGGCTTGGATTTTTGTATGTTTTTGGTATATTCACCAAAACCCAACTTGTTCCAATTTTCGCGTTTTGACTTCATCGTCCCTTTAAATTTTAATCTGTATTGAATTTTGTTAAATATCATAGCGTTCCGAATTAAGGAACCTTGAAGCCAAGAATCCATAAGCTATTAAGACGCTGACAGTTGCCAAACTAATTTTGCGATTTTTCGACCATTTTTTCTCGATTTTCCAGCCCATCTTCTGTCTTCCCCGTCCCTTTAAAACACTCAGTATTTCAAAACGGTTTTTGCCTCCATGCAAATCGCAATAGTCTTTAAGTCGATAAGTTAAAGTCCGTCTGGAAAGTCAGAAATCCGGTCAACAACTGGTTTAGCTGGGGGCTGAGCCGGCACTCATGATATCTGACCCACAAAAATGGTAGGCCGATTAGACCGGCTGCCTTGAATGGTCCTTTAAGTTGATTGCGAAAACAAGATTGGTATATAACCTTGCAAAAACACCGAACATTTTTGTATGGATCTCGAAAATTGCTTTAGTTTTTCCGAATTTTTGCCTATTACGATTTTTATGCGGTGGATTCTAGGATACTGTAGTAAAAAAGTAGCTAAAGCGACAACGATTTTATATAGGTTTTCAAAATTCAGTTCTGCTCGTAAATAAGTAATAGGGAAAAACAAAAATAGGACATTTAAATTCACATTTTTGGACTATCTCGCCACATTTCTAATTTTTACTAGGGAGATTTGCTTATATTCTGCTAAATTAAAAACCTATAATTACTATAAATTGCGCAGAGAAATTTTACCTGCTTTTAGTTCGATGAAAATTTACCAAAAAGCCGCTCTGTTAGCTAAATTTGCATAATCCGGGCCAATCCATCTCTCCCCCCCCCTCTTCTCTCTCTCTCTCTCTCTCTCTCCCTTTCTTCTTTTATCACCCGCAAAATATCAGCCCAGGAAAATGAGCGTTTTATGAAAGGTTACTCATCATAATACGTATCATCCTGCCCTAGTGTCATTAGTCATTCGGCGTAGCTCGTCGTCTGCAAGCGTTGCAGTCTTCAGTCTTTAAAATTTCCTTGACTCATCTGACCTCCGCCCCACGATAAACGTGTGCGTAGTTAATGTTTTTTTTGGGAAGAGGTGACGAGTGGGAGGTGTTTCCCCGGAATTCTAAGATAAGAGCTTCAGGGGTGATGTCAACTGTTCGGGCGTGGGGGCAAGCTGTGTTTCGATAATTTCCAGGGGGGTATCACCCGATTTTTCAGGCTTCAGGCTCTCTCTCTCTCTCTCTCCCTCTCACTCTCTCTCTCTTTCTCTCCCGCTCTCTCTCCCTCTCTCCTTATCTCCACCACACCACACCCACCCAATAGTTCTTGGGGTTTTTCTGCACCCTCCGAAATTCGTGGACCTCCTCCGGCTTTTCCTGATAACGGGCAGAAGAGTTTGGTCTTGTTTTTTAGTTCGTTATTGGCTTTCCTTAAAGTTCTCTGCTAGCTGACCCTTAGAAAAATCACCTGTTCCTCAACGTTTCCTGCTGGTTCAGGCTCAAAAACGTCTACTGATGCTAAAAGCTCATCTATCTTAAAAATGGAAAATGCCGATTTTCCCCAACGGTCTCTGCTAGGTTACACTCGAAATTGCTCGTTTTTTTGTAAGCCTAAACTTCCTCAACGTTCTCTGCTGGCTGTCGTGCCAAAAATGAGCAAAAAACGATCGGATCCTCGTCTAGCCTCCCCAAAAATCTCTGCTAGCTTGCCTCATCACCATGGATTTTTTTGAGTTCTGATTTCCCCAATGAATTTTGCTATTTGCCTTCTAATTTTTTCTATTATTGTCTGCTTTAAAAGAGCCATTTTTCCCGTTAAAAATTCGATTTTGCATCCAAATATCATTTCATTCAGTCTTTACAGGGTGAGGCATATATATCGCTACACCCTCTCAGGCCCCCAAAAAATTATTAAAGCGAGCCGGGCTTCGATATTTTGCTGTGATATAGCCACATGGGTCCTTTCGATACTCTTAAAATTTTATAATGCAACAACCCTATAAACACTTGTTCTGAAGCAAAAACTGGGCGTCGTTAGGTGAGTCTGGCACGGAACCCCTTGGCGGCCGATTTTGGTATGGTTCGGAAACATTGATTTGGACCCGAATGACCCCTAAAAACATTTGTACTACTTAGAATTTAACTAAAGACAATGAGACCAACTTATTTCTTTTCATTCGGTAGAAAGTTAAAAGTTTGTCTCAGCTGGTTACAAAAAGCATAGTAAAAAAAACATAAAAATACATTTTTTGACCTGTACTCGTTCAATTTCTTGGTTATATTATTGGGAATTGCTCGTATCGGATGCCTAAAATGCAAAAAAACAGCTAGAATCCAAATATTCAGGTGGCTTAGATTTTCTGATGAATTTTTAGTGGCCAACCAAAGGGCGGGGAGGGGTGGGTAATCACTCCTTCTTTGAATGTAGTAAAATTCCCTCGCTAGTTTCCGACTAAAAACTTTTTGGAAAACATAAATAAGACCCGATTGAACCAGAATACAAAAAAAACTGCAGCAGAATTACCAATATACGGGGTTCTAGGAGCAGCGTGCCAACACGCCACTTTTTCGAGAAAAGTGCTGAACTTCCTTGTAAGCTAAACCCAAATCAAAACAATTTTCAACCATTTACATTTATTTCCTGCATAAAGAGACACTAGTTCTTTGATGGGAAACATCGACTACCCCGAAAATATAATCAGTTTTCCGCCGGCAGACCAATTTGTGCGTGCTAGAGGTGTAGCGATATATATGCCTCACCCTGTAGATAACTCAAAAACAGATCCGTAATCCAAAAATCTCTGGCCTAATCAGCATTATATTGCCAATATTATTATTTGGAAAATATAGCCCAGATTCGGGTCTCAATCCATGCCAAATCCACCTCAAATCCACAAGGGATTCGACCCGAATCCCAACTCGATCCATCTCCTAATTCTAATGGCCCTTCGAGAGCTACAAATCCCGAATCAGCCGACCCATCCGCCCTTATAATTCCCACCCCCACCCTCCCATAAGTCTCAAGATATCCTGCTCCCAGATAAGTCTGGATCAAGTAAGACTCCACGGCTTTTCGGCGTGTGGGTGGCGGCCCGAATCGGGGCCGCTAAATCTGCTGTTTGCCCCCAAGTAGCACATCCGAAAAACAATTTTCTTAATTTACCCCACGCTTCCTGGGGGGTGGGGCTTGTCGGGTTTTCGGGGGTGATTCGGGGTTCTAAAGACCTAGATTGGGTCAGTCTATTACTAGCAGATACTAGTTATTACGCTACCGTCCTATAAACGCAGAATTACCATGAGACTCAGGGTTTGTTATTGATTTTCGGGACAACTGTGGGTATAAACATATTGTTAAATGGCTTAAGGTACCATTAGAATCCTGGAATAACTAATGTTTTAAGGCACGACCTTGTTAATACCCCAAGACACCCATAGATACGATACCTTTAAGGGCCCTTTAAGGGACCTTTGCGATGCCTTTAGGTATCAAATCAAAAAATGAAAAATTTACCCCATTTTTCCAGGAAATCGAACTGATCGACGTGCTGTGGCGCAGTGACCTAAGCGGCGTCTCCGAGAAGCGCCAAGTATTGGAGCGCCAAGAGGAGTCCGACCTCGCCGCCCTCACCCACAAGAGCATCACCCAGGTACGGTAGTCTATGTGTGTTTTTTTTTGAGGCGTTACGGTATATAATTTTGGGCATAATATTATAAAAAAACAACCGCATTTTACAAATTGGATAGGCTGAGCTTTTGTTTATTGACATAAAATGTGAATCTGCGGAAAGGACATTGAACTCCTTCAAGGCGTCGGCAGTTTGCATACGAAATACTGCTGCCGGTGCTCCCAGCAGCCGTAGTCGAACCAGGTGCCCGGCTGCTCCTGGCTGTACGCCATGTACACGCAGTCCACCTAGGTTGAAAAATGATAATTTTTAGGCTTAGGCTTAGACTTAGGTTGAGCTTAGGCTTAGGCTTAGGCTTAGGCTTAGGCTTAGGCTTAGGCTTAGGCTTAGGCTTAGGCTTAGGCTTAAGCTTGTAAGCTTCTGTGTAAGCTTAAATATTGGCTTCGGCTTGAGTCCTGTTCATGCTCAACCTCAATCTCATGCTCAAGCTAAAGTTAACTATTCCTTTTTCTCAAAACAAGCTCCCCCATTTTCCAAATAGCGCCCCCAGTATCCCCCAACCGTCATAAGCCGTGGCTGACGCCTCCAAAGCACCGGGAAGCGCTTTTTACACAAATAGAAGATGGAATTCTATTTTGCGCGCGGCTCGCCCACACACTTAATGTCAGCGCCGGCTACAGCCCCCTTCGCCGACGCGGTGTGGTGGTGGCTAGCGGAATTGCGGGGCTCGTGCTCCCACTTGAAGGGGGATACGGTAACCAGGGCATCTGATCCCCCGGCTGATCCCCTGGTGACTGCGTCAATGTGCAGAGACGCGTGCCCCTTGCTTCTAGAAGAAAATAACATTTCCCGGTGGTTCTAGAGATGGGATGTCGTCATTTTAAAGGGATGGTGTTGGAGAGTGAGAGAGAGAGTGGGTCAGAGAGCGAGAGCGAGATAAATAAATAGAGAGATAGAGAGATGGAGAGAGGGAGAGCGAGAGAGAGAGAGCGAGAGAACAATAGAGAAAAAAAACATGGGGAAGCGAGAGAAAGCGAGAGAAAAAGATATAGAGCGAGAGTGAGAGTGGGGGAGAGGGAGAGCGAGAGAGAGCGACAGACGAGAAACGAGACGAGAGATTTTAGGTTCCTTACTCGTTTTCCAAAAACCGTCCGATGGTGATGCAAATTGGGCTAGCCTTTCGTTAATTCCTCTCTCCAACACTTTAAAAGACCATTGAAGGCAAGTACTCGCCCCGCAAAGACCAAATTCCCACCTCAGAACCCACCCCCACGTCATAGCGTCTTTCCCTGATCCCACCTACACACATAGGCCTTTGTACTCCGGGCCGAAGATAGCAATTTCGGGGGCTTATCACCAAATTTCTGCGGTACAACCTATGGACTGGGGGTGCCTTCGAGTCTCCACGCGACCCTTGGACCACGCGTGCAGCCCGGCCGGCTGATATTTTTGGTCTTATAATCTCGGCGGCGTTTTTTTGAGCTGATTATAGGCGCGTAGCGGAATTTGGCGGATCCAGGAGAAGCGAAAAAAGGCAAGAAAAATCTAGATGGAGCTCATGCTTGGTTTAAGCCTAAGCAGGACTTAAACCTCAGCCAACCTAAAATTTCGATTTTATAGCAAACTTCTAATGCCTTCATAGCTCCTTTAAAGTGATTTTTGAGCTTTTTAACCTCAAAAAAGCATATTTTTAAAATTCTAAAAATTCATTGCGGCTATTTTTCCTTGATGATCCTTTTAAAAGCCTCTTGAAGGAAGTTATAACTCAGAAAAATCGAAAAATGCGCAAAAAGGTAAAATATCATCTCCTCGGCTCCGAACCCGGGTCAAATTCCTGGAAAGCTAGCCATTTACCACTTGACCACCCACCTTCGGCTCGTTCGGTTGCGTCGAGTCCCAGTTGATGTAATCGGCCGACTGCCCGTCGCTCCACTTGTAAACCTGGCGCGTGTCGTTCAGTTTGTTCAGACCGATCCAGATGTTGTTTTCTAAAGGGCATCATCATTGGGGTGTCAATAGTACTCTTTCGTATTTGGTGGACAAAGTCATTCTCGGCACGGTCGACGATGCTGACTAGGTGGCCGCCCATGGAGCGGCAGTAGTTCTCGGCTGGCACCCAGTGGAGGTCCATTTCGTAGAGCCGATACCAGTGTTGGCCGTAGAGGTGGAAACCCTGAGAAATTAGATATATCGCTCTTTCTCGCTCTCGCTCTCTCTCTCTCTCTCTCTTTATCTTTCTCTCTCTCTCGTTCTCTCTCGCTCTCCCCACCTATTTCTTTCTCTCGCGCTCTCTCACTCACTCACTCACTCTCTCTCTCTCTCGCTCTCTCCCTCTAGCACTTTATTTCTCTCTTTCTCTCTCGCTCGCCTCTCTCTCCTCTCTCTCTCTCTCTCTCTTTCGCTCCAACTCACATTCTGCTGCAACGCCAACACTGCCAGCAGCCGAATATTATTGTCCAAATTCTCGGCCCTATTCCCCGGAATACCCTTATACGTTTGCTGCAAACCCGCCGGAACGACGGTGTCCCGAAATTCAGCCAATACTGTAGCAATTAAGAAATAGCAGACGAATGTGAGCACGAGCATTTTGGAAGCGATCCTGAGAAAGGGTTTGACAGCCTAGCCAGACAGCCCTAAAGGAGCCCAGCTGCTTTTCCACAAGTTTATAAACACAAACTGGAGACGTTTTTCAGCGCCTCTCGGCTGAGGAGACGGCCCGATACGAGGAGCTGAGCAAGAGCTACTTTGAGGACTTTTACGCCGGTGCTGCTTCGACCGCTGATTGCTTGTCGTCGCTGGAGCAAGAGGTATGTTGGATGATTGTATTCTCGTTTGGGCTCAAGCGGGGGTCAGTGCTCATGCTCAACTTACCTGAGGTTCAGGTCTCGGTTTTGAGATTCCCTTCAAAATTCATATTTTCAGAAGTGCTACACCGACAGCTCCCTGCCCTCGTGCTCAAATCCGGTCTCTCCGCTCCCGAAAGAGCTACCGACTCCGACAGACGTAAGTTGGAAACTTGCGTAGTTACTGTACGCTACAGCACAAGATGGAAAAATATAGGGCGCTGCGATCCGCTAAACTCGGCTACTTAACGCTACCGTACGCTACTTTACACTGCTGTACGCTACAATACCCCACTGTACGCTACTGAGCCCCCGTAAGGCGCTGGCATAGGTTGCGGTACGTTACTGTACGCTGCCGTAGGCTAAAGTAGATCACAACGCGCGGACGTACGCTACTGTACGCTACAGTACGCTTATATCCGCTACTGTATGTTAAGGCGCGCTTACAGTACTCGAAAGCTCGTTTTTCGATATCCCGGAAATTCCTACGCACACCATAAGCCACGCCCCTTTCCCCCTCGAGGGCTATTTACGGCGCGTCATTTCACAGATATTACGTAGCGCTACTAAACCCGTCTAGCCCCGCCCCGTTAAGCGCAGCGTTACGTAGTGCCGTGGGGCGGGCCCTCACCTGCTAATTCCAGAGGTGGTGCTGACGCTCTAGTGCCTTCAGGGTCTCTCCCGGTCTCTCTCTCTAACTGTCATCAAACCATCGGATTTAGGCGGAGCTCGACGCGCTATATAACGACATGTTGCACAAGGACAGCCCACTGGAGACGCTCGCATTCGCCCATCCTGGCAGTCAGCAACAGCAACAGCAGCATTCTCTGAACGACCCGACAACCACGCCAGTTATGCACAACGTATCACTTGGAGTGCCACTCACACAGGCTAATTGTAAGTTTTGAGTAAATTTTTCACTCTCTATCTCTCGCACTCACTCGCGCTCTCTCTCCATCTTTCTCTCTTGCTACCTCAGGCTCGTGATCTCTCTCTCTCTCGCTCTCTCTAGCTCTCGCGCTCCCCTTCTATCTCTCGCTCTCTCTAGCTCTCGCGCTCCCCTTCGATCTCTCGCTCTCTCTAGCTCTCGCTCTCTCGCTCTCTCTCTCTCTCTCTCTCTCTCTCTTTCTCCCTCTCTGACGTTCTCTCGCTCTCTCCCCTCTATATCATCCACCTTGCAGTGACCGACGTGATGCCCCAAATGAACTTCTCCTGCGAGCTGCCATGCCCGCCCGCACTCGTCGGCGCCTCCGCCATCCCCTCGGCCGCCTTCAACAGCTCCCACTTCTGGCACAACCACACCGAGGGACCCCTTCCCGGATATCTCCGAACCGAGGGGCTGAACAACCTGACGATGGCCGTCCAGCAGATGTGCCACAATGAGCCCGTCTTGGCCGAGATCGGCGCCGTCAACTATTCGACGAACGTGCAGCCGCCGGTGGTTACGGTAGGTGTTTGAAGTAAAAAATCCTACTATATATAAAAAAATAGTGTCTGTGTGTGTCTGTGTGTGTGTGCCACTTTGCATCCACTTCCGTCTGTCTGTCCGGAGGATATCTCAAGAAGGGACGGGTATTAGGCTACGTATGATACGTCATTAGGTGCGTAATGGTCTAGGGATGACTGCACACATATCAGATTTTTAAAAATTAGCCATTTTCGCTATTAAATTTAGGGTTTTGTAAAAATCTATTTGTTAGGAATAATTAGCATAGACCGGAAGTGGGCCGTCGCCTATATAAAGAGGCAGCAAGGATTGTTTTTCATTTTTTTTTTGTCTTCTCAATGGAGGATAATTATGCAAAGGGCAGAATAGTATGGGGTCCGAGACGGGGCCAGGGTTGAAAAGTCGCGAAGCGGCTTTTCAACACTGGTAATGAATAAAATCAATATTTTTGTTTCTGAGGTTATTTTGATTTTTATAGAACCTCCAAGTTCCGTATGCAAATCTGAACGGTGGATTGTACGACAGCTTTGGGCGGAGGTCGGCTTCGATCAGCAAGTGAGTTTTTGTGGAGAGAGAGAGAGAGAGGGAGAGAGAGAGTGAGAGAGAGAGTGAGGAGGGAGAGAGGCAGAAAGAAAGATAAAGAGAGAGGCAGAAAGAGTGATCATGAGTGAGTGAGCATGAGCGAGTGAGAGAGAGCGAGAGAGAGAGCGAGAACTAGAGAGACATACCTTCAAATTCATCCTCCTCCATTTTCAGTGAATCCTCCATCGAATCCTCCTCCTCCTCAGCCTCCCCCCGCTACAGCAGCGAAGCGGAGAACCACTCCCCCAGCCAGAGCCGCTTCTACGGCAAACTCCTCCCCCAACCAATCGAGTCCCAACACGACAAATACCACCTCTACGACAAGGCCCGTGTCCCGGTCGTCTGCTCCGTCCTCCCCCGCCGTCGTGGCCGCCAGAGCAAAGACGAGCAGCTCGCCATGGCCTATCGACTCCCCGCCACCGCCGCCGCCATCTCCGACATGTCCCTCCCCGAGCTCCAGAAAATGCTCAGATGCGAGGACCTGTCCGAAGAACAAAAGAACCTGATCCGCAAGATCCGCCGCCGCGGCAAGAACAAGGTCGCCGCCCGAACTTGCCGCCAACGCCGCGGCGAGGTGAAGCCGAATGGGGCCCCAACTGTGCCACAGAATTTGGGCCATTTGAATGCGTGGAACGGCCAGAATGAGGTGAGCAATTTTTTGAGGCCTTGAATTTCTGCATTAAAATTTGAATATTTATTTTCAAATTAAGAAAAAATACTTTTTAATACTATTTTTCAAAGCAAAGTTGAGTTTGCGGTCTAAAACTTCAATAATTAATTTTTTTCTTGGTTTTCGAAGGATAATTCCAAAAATTGACAAAAATAAAATATTTATAAAGTTACATAATCTTAGTTCCCAATTTCAGCACGCCCGCACCCTGTTCCGCCGGCAATGATCAGCTGCAGATTGCGGTAGATGCTCTCCTCGACCAGCTACACCCCCAAAAACATGCCGTCTGTATGTGTGTGTTGCGTGCCGTGCATAAGAAGCCCCTGAATTTCCGCGTGTACAATATTTATGCAAATTTCCGGTAGCCCTACCCCCCTCAATTCCACATGTGTATACCTCCTCTTCCCCCCACGTCCTCATCGCGTTTTCGGAATGCTACGAAATTCCGGAAAGCTACGGAATTACAAAATGCTGCGGAATTCCGGAATGTTACGGAACTTCTTATAATGACGGAATTCCGGATTGATACGGAATTCCGGTAAGATACATAATTTCGGACTAAAACGGAATTCCGGAATGCTACGGAAACGCTCCCCGAATTGATAGATCTCCTCCCTCTTATTTTTTTGGCTGACTGTAAGGTCTAAACGATACTTTTCTACCGTACCCTTGGGCAATAATCTCTCCAGTATTTTACTACCCTAACTGATCACCGTACCCAAAGTTGGGGATTTTAAGGGCTGGTGACATAATTTTTGGTGGTTTTAGAGATGTTGTAAAGTCAGAATTTGATCTTGCGGTCCCTTTAAACTCTCTGGAGAATTTTAAAGGGACCAGCAAGTCGAAAATCCATAGATACCTCTGATTTTCTGACTTCCAGTCCCTGAAAACCAAATTCCACTGTCACCAACCCTTAAAGACCCCCGTTTCCCAACCCCTTTAAGCCCCGCCCACTTTTTCGATACCTACCAGCAGCTCCAATTTATTTACATTACCTTTTTCTAGCTTAGGTAACGGGTCCCCGACTTCTCAAACTTGATTATTATTTTTTTTGTTTACGATTTTTTACAGCCCCGATTTACATGGTCTACTGTAGCCGATTTGTGCAAAATACCCAATTAACTGTGTTACTTTACAGTACCCTGCTGAAAAACACTTGTGAGAAAAACAGTACCCCCTCGGTGTGCCCATCGTGTTTTTGATCGAATTTTTCATCGGTTGATAAAATGTCTTGTGTCTATTTTTGAGCGCTTCACGCCGCAAACTACAAAACACAATAATTACGATACGATACGATACAATGCTTAAAACATCTCGTACAATTCCAAAAAAGAAAGACATACAACAGGTATTTAGACACCTTTTTACGGATATTTGTAGGTGCAATTTAAGCTAGAGAGTTTCTCCCAACCAGTGCGTATCTGAAAAAATTCAGTTATTGATTTGAAGTCATTTGTTGCGGCATTTTCAAAGAAACAAGCTCCCTCCATCTCTCGCTCCCTCTCTCGCTCGCTCTCTCGCTCACTTTCACACCCTCTCCCTCTCTCTCTCTCTCCGCTCTCTCGCTTTCTCTCTCCCTTCCTCTCTATCTCTCTGTCTCTCGCTCTCTTCCCAGACCTACCGTAGCAGGCGTTTTCCGGCCATGAACAGCGAACAGGTACGGTACCCCGTCCATGTCACATTTTATCCCGTATGGGTTTGGCTTAAAAACTGGTAATTAGAGAGAGAGAGAGAGAGAGCGAGAGAGAGAGAAAGAGAGAGGGAGAGAGAGGGAGAGAGCAACAGATCAAGTTCTTTCTCTATACCTTTAGAAGCCGATCATTCGGGTGTACCGAACGTGGCATATCGATGCGTTTGACTCCGGCTGCTTCAGCTAGAATACCGGTGAGCAAGACGTCTTCTACCTAGAGGAGCTCTGCTTTAAAGGAATAGCAACATCAGGATCGACCTCAAAATACACGTGGCAATAGGAAAACATATAGCTCTTATAGAAACTTTTAGCTTGTCGCGAATATGACCAAACCTAGCCGACTAGAGGGGTCGATTCTCGGGCTTTCCAACCCCTTTAGAAAAATCCTTCAGCTCACATTATAAATAAAAGGCACGTTTCGCGTCGAATTCAGCAGTTGAGCAACGGCTCCTCGGGTTAGAATATAAGAGGGCCCGCCGCAGAATGGCGGCAAGAACTTGTGATCAAAATGTCGAGGCGAGATATACCTTAAATGACGCTAAAGACATCACAACATTTACTTTACGACGCAAAAGCCACTTAATAATCGATAAAAAAATTACCATCGATGTTTCGGGTTTCGAAAGGGCTTCGACCTCCGCCAGAGCTTGCCGAAAATGGCCGGCGGATTTTCGGAGATTTTGCCTTTTGCTTGGAAGTGGAAAAATCTGCTGAAATCGAAGAGGACGTCGTCGTCAATCTGGAATCCAAAAATTCTGCGTTTCCGGAGAACTACCTTCAGCAAGTATCTGGTTGGGCAGTACGTCTGATGATAGTAGAAGAGGGCGAGGGACTAAAAAAAGTGAACCATACCTTCAGAAGAGAGAGAGAGAGAGAGAGAGAGAGAGAGAGAGAGGAGAGAGAGAGAGAGAGAAACAGAGGTAGAACCGGACACTGCTTTGAAAATAAATCTTCTGACCTTACCTTATGCACCAAATTGCGATAGGTATCGGGCGAAGATATTAATAGAATATCCCCATATTCCTCGGCCTCCTCGTAAATTAGCATATTTTCCTCGGGGCGCCCGCGACCGATTATGAACAAGACCTTGAGATTGGGTTCCTAAAATTAACTAGATAGTAATAATAATAATCATAAAAACAATAATAAAATTCAGCATACCATTTTCGTTTCCACTCTTCCCCACGTCTCCCTGATGGCCTCACGGATTTTGTAATGTTTCGCCTGGGAGAGGACGACGGCGAGGAGGAGGGCTGATGAACAGTTGGTCGGCTGAGATAAATTAAAGTATACAACTTTTCTCTCTCTCTCTCTCCCTCTGTCTCTCTCTCTCTCTCTCTCTAATGGTCTCATTATGTGAGTCTTAAAATCATGAACGTGCCTCCGGCAGGATACGGTAGGTCGATTTGAAATTAGCGTTCTTGAATTTTATAGAAAATGGTGTTTCTTCGATGGTTTTTACCGACGTTGAGGGTACCGAAAAATCCTCTGACGTCGTTTCGAAGAGCGGAAGGCTCCTAAAACGAAAACATCCCACTATCTGACGGTATTTATCTTACAGAACACTTTTTTGCAGTTGATTTTCACAAGTGTCTTGCCGAAGATAGAGATGAAGAATAATGAGGGCCAAGAACAAATCTGAAAATTGTTTCGAATGGGTTTAGGTTGTAAAATTACAAATGAGCAGCTGGGTACGGTAGCACGGGCGGCCGCCCATTAATGTGTCGACGTCGACGCCGACGAGATTAGCCAGGGAATGGCATCGAGAACTCGGCAACAATCTTCTAAACTCCATGAAAAACTTGAATGGAATCAATCACACCCAAAGCTATTTTAGGGAGTTTAGAGAGAGAGAGAGGGAAGAGTGGGAGAGACATAGAGACAGAGAGAGAGAGAGAGAGAGAGAGAGAGAGAGAGAGAGAGAGAGAGAGAGGGAGAGAGAGAGCGAGATAGGGGGAACGAGAGAGGGAGAGAGAGAGCGAGAGAGAGAGAGTAAGTGAGAGGCGGTCAACGAGGCAGATTGAATGATCGAGAGAGAGAGGGAGAGAGAGGCGAGAGAGAGAAAGAGGCGAGAGACAGAGAGAGAGAGAGAGCGCGTGAGATGCCGAGGCAAGCTAGCAGAGATTCTTGGCGTCTTGGGGGTATTTTCCAACGTAAAGAGTTGCGGGGCTACGTGCCGGAGGTCCAGACAAAAACTTCAATGTTTATGTTACGAATCCGCTTGGCTAGGGGCGAGAGAAGAAAAAGAAGCACAGCAGGGAATTGTTTGTCCTCTGTTTGGGGAGGACTTTTAGACTCTAGTGAGTTCCACAGACATACGTAAAAAATAGTTAAGATCTGTTAAGTAATTTCAGTTAAAGCGCATCAATAATAATGTTAAATCCAGGAAAATCAATCGATAAAGCGCTGAGAAGCGGGCAGACGATCAGGGGAATTCGTTTTTCGATTATAGCCTCGAGCTATCTGGTGTTCGGCCTGGGGAAAGAAGCAGGGAAAGCAATTAAAAATGCAAACTCTTTGCTGACGTCGCTGAAGGGGACGTTCTTTGGAAGATCAAGTATTTAATTTTCTTTCAAATTTTTAACCGTTGCGGTTCACGATTTATGCGAATTTTTGGTTTTTATGGCATTTTCCAGCCAAAGTCATAATTTTTTTCCAAATTACCTTTTTTATTCGTGCATATACAATCCAGAAATCAAATTATTCCACAAATATCGATGCAAATGTTGACAAAATTAAATGCAACAATGGCGAAACTCATCAGAAAATTCGAAAAATTAGGTCACACAAAAACCGTAAAAATCAATTTCGCATGTACCAGTGCTGGGGGATGGGATATTGTATTCAATTAAAGCGAAAATAATTTACATATTGTTGAAAATAGGCTATAAATCATTACAAAGCTCAAAATATACATATAGAACCTTCGCGATGATTATGTCAAATGCTGGTGGGCAAAATTGGTGGCGTTGATGTGCATTTGGTCGTTGGACGTGGACGAGCCGATGATGACGGTCACGCAGATGAGGAGCACGAACAGGAGCCACACTAAAAATGCTTTTTATTTCATAAATAAATTTTTAAGCTTTTTTAATATGCTAGTTTGTATTTTAAAAGCTTAAGATTGGCTCATTGCCCATCCGGCCGAGATTTTTCGGCTCTTTAGCATTATCGGGGGGGGGCAACCTTTTCTACGGACCCAATATTACTAGGATAAATAGAACAGTTGTTCTAAACTTTTTACCTAAATTACAAATTTTGATTAAAAGACAAAAATATCTATTTTTCACGCAAGGCGGTTTTTGCTTTTTGAGTATTTTCGACGCAAAATATCATTAAATTTGACTAAACACTTTTAATTCTTGCTAAATTAAATTGTCCCCGGTAATGCAAAAGCACCGGTTTATTTACTAAAACCCACCTATCAAAAGACATATTTTCCTATGGCCCACGAGACACTCCCGTACACGGGCGCCCTTGCCCGTGATGGCCGGCAGGAATAGCGGTAGATGGAAAGTCTGGGAATTGATTGATTTGCCATCTATTTAATACAATTTTAATGTAAGAAAGTAAATACAACGAAATATATTCAAATTGCCTTCAACTTACCGTTCCGTCGACAAATGCCTCCATTTTACGCGCCTGATGCCGCCCTTCGTTTTGAGATGATTTTCCAGGGTCTTAATCGACAGCACGGTTACCTGGAAATGTTGTAAATTGTAAGTCCACTAAAGATCCAAAATACCGTCAGAAAATTTCTTTGACAGGCTCTTTTTAAGAAAAACTTACCACTTGACTGCTCGTATCTCGAACCCATACAAAATACTCGTTGTCCTGCCGCGGGGCGTTGTCCAAAAACTTTTTCAGCTGCGTCTTGCTCTTCTCGGAGAGGGTGGAGATGAACAGGTCGGCCTGGAATTAGAGCTAATCCAGGGCGAGCCAGCAGGGATTTCTGGGGAACGCTAGCAGAGACTATTGAGGAGAGCTAGCAGAGACCATTGAGGAGAGCTAGCAAAGATCATTGGGGAGAGCTAGCAGAGATCATTGGGGAGAGCTAGCAGAGATCATTGAGGAAAGGTAGCAGATGCATTGAGGAGACCTAGCAGAGACCATTGAGGAGAGTTAGCAGAGATCGTTGAGGAAAGCTAGCAGAGACCATTGAGGAGAGCTAGCAGAGACCATTGAGGAGAGCTAGCAGAGACCATTGAGGAGAGCTAGCAGAGACCATTGAGGAGAGCTAGCAAAGACCATTGAGGAGAGTTAGCAGAGATCGTTGAGGAAAGCTAGCAGAGACCATTGAGGAGAGCTAGCAAAGACCATTGAGGAGAGTTAGCAGAGATCGTTGAGGAAAGCTAGCAGAGACCATTGAGGAGAGCTAGCAAAGACCATTGAGGAGAGTTAGCAGAGACCATTGAGGAGAGCTAGCAGAGACCATTGAGGAGAGCTAGCAGAGACCATTGAGGAGAGCTAGCAGAGACCATTGAGGAGAGCTAGCAGAGACCATTGAGGAGAGCTAGCAGAGACCATTGAGGAGAGCTAGCAAAGACCATTGAGGAGAGTTAGCAGAGATCGTTGAGGAAAGCTAGCAGAGACCATTGAGGAGAGTTAGCAGAGATCGTTGAGGAAAGCTAGCAGAGACCATTGAGGAGAGCTAGCAGAGACCATTGAGGAGAGCTAGCAAAGACCATTGAGGAGAGCTAGCAAAGACCATTGAGGAGAGCTAGCAGAGACCATTGTGTAGAGCTAGAAGCGATATTTACGATATGGCTCAGAACAAGGTCTCAGAATCACAAACCAACCTGTTGCCCAACCGGCTGCTGGCATACTGTATGCTTATGCTCTTCCCCCGTTGAATATCGTAAACACCGAGCAGCCCGGGTCTTGGGAACACGCTAAAATAATATTATAGGACCAAAAATACTTAAATTTATTGCGACAGGTAGAAAGGATCTCGAAAACCGACTGGGATCGGTCTCGTTGAATTCGGCGTTCAGCGCGGCATAACCAAATTGGATCGCGTGTTTTTCTTTGCCCTCGCGGAACGACTCGCACGGGCGCACGAGGGTCACTCGACGTTCACCATCTAGGGAGGAGGGGTGGATACATTTATTGAATATCTCGCCCTCTCTTGTCGCTCTCTCTCTATCTCTCTCTCTCTCTTTCACTCACTCTCTCGCTTTCTCTATCTCTCTCCCGCTCTCTTATTTCTCTCTCTCGTCCCTTTCTCTCTCCCACTTTCGCTCTCTCTCTCTCTCTCTCTCTCTCTCTCTCTCTCTCTCTCTCTCTTTCTCTCGCCTTATGTCTCTCTCGCTTTCTCTCTCTCCCTCTAACTCTTTCTTTCTCTCGCTCTCTCTCGCTCTCTGGAACTCTTTCTCTATCTAACGCTTTCTATCGCTCTCTCTCTCTCGCTCTCTTTCTCTCGCGCTCTCTTAATAGCTTGTTAAAATGCGTTACTGTAGATCACTAAAAGTCCTACTGGCTTTCGCGACAGGTGCCAACTTGGCCGGCACCGAGAATCGCTTCTTCTGATATTGATCCGGTGGCAGTCCGGCAGTCTTCATCTTTGAGACCGTATCGGCTCGTCCTCGGCCGGCCGGCGGGGCTGCATCCCCGTTTTCGGCCATCTGAAAATATTGAGTGTAAGGTCGGTCAAATCCGTATAATCAGAAACGTATTAAAACCTAAAATTTGGAAACTCGATTTTAAGGCCAATATAGAGCGCTTTGTGTGCTTAAAGAGTCATAGGAGAGATAACGCTTAGACGTAAAACCCCAGGAATATTCGCAAAAACCATATTTCGGAAATTTTGTCATTCACTCCGTCATAACCACCAACCCAAGCCAAGCTTTACAGTAAGCCTGAAGCTAAGCTGCCATGAAGCCTAAGCCAGCCCTAGTAAAGCCTACGTTAAGCCTACGCGAAGCCTACACAAAAGTAAAAAAGCGCCGAGCGAAGCTTACGAAGCTACCCAAGCCAAACTTTAGCGAAGCCTACGCGAAGCCTACGCGAAGCCTACGCGAAGCAAACCAAAGCCAGGCCAAAGCTAGACTTACGCTAAGTTTAAGCGAAGCCCAGGCGGAGCTCAAGCGAAGCCGAAACGACACGTGAGGAAAGCCTACGCGGAGCCTATGCGAAGCCTAAGCCCCCAAGCTAAGCTCAAACCACGCTCAGATGATGCCTAAGCCTAAGCATCCCGCACATTCGATCATAAACTGATGTAAATAAATATGTAGTAGCCGAGCAGAAAATTTTATTCACCTCCTCCCACCCCAAAAACTGAATGTGGTAGGTGGCTATTATCGGCTGTTATACTAGTCGTAGCAAAAATTGTTGAGCCGCCAAGCTTCGGGGCGGTGATTAGATGTTTGGCCGTAAATGGCCGGCCACCTCGGGGGTGGCGAGTAGAGGCAGGTGGAATGAAATGAAATTCGCCGTCATTTCTCGGCAAGGTGTGTGGGGGACACCACCAAAAACAAAGTAGCCCTGGGGCACAAACAGTCAGGTGTTGGGCTAGTGACTCGTGGGCTTCGGATCAATTGGCCAATGATTTGATGATCGCAGTTGATTGGGTTTTTAGGTGAGTGTACTTTACAGGAAGTTGAGAGCCGGAAGTTTACCTGCGCTTGAGGTATGCAATGCAGATCGATAGATAGATAGATAGATAGATAGATAGATAGAAGAGTGAGGTAAAGCGGAGAAGAGAGCGAGACAAGAGAGAGAGAGAGAGAGAGAGAGAGAGAGAGAGAGAGAGAGAGAGGGGCAAGAGCGAGAGCGAAATAGAGAAAGATGGAGAGAGATAGCTAGATAGAGAGCGATAGCAAGATAGAGAGACAGAGTGGGGGAGCGAGACAGAGAGGGATAACGGGAGACGGAGAGTGCGAGAGAGAGAGAGAGCTAGTGAGAGAGTGAGAGGCGCGAGTGCGCGGTAGCGAGCGAGAGAGCGACAAGTTGCGAGTGCCAGGGGGATAAAGAGAAAAGGTGAGAGAGGCAGAGAGAGAAAGAGAGAAAGAGAGCCAGAGAGAGAGAGAGTGATAGAGAGTGAGAGAGAAAGGCATGGATAAAGAGCTTCAATTAAAAGGCCAATTCGTCATATCTAGAATCTCTGACTGAATACTTCCGGATTACGAATTGTCAAAAAATCAGGAAAATTATATTATATTCGAATGAATAGTGGGGTGGTGTCACGTCGAGATGCGGGTCTCGGCCCCCACGCTGCCCCAAGATGGGAATGCTGAAAACAAGAAAGTCTATGGGAGGGGGAAGTGAAAGTATTGGCAAAATATCGGGATGGATGCGAGCAGCAAAATATAAGCAACCGCGAAGACTTTCGACAGGGTTTTGGGATGCTAAATTTGGACAGAAAAAACGATGGAATTTGTAGATCGTGCGGATTGTCCAATCGATTTCCGGTCAAAATGCCGACATCTAAAAGCTGACGCGCCAAAGGTTCGGACATTTAAAATTACGACAACCAGAATTCCGATCGCCGAGCCAACAGCGCAAATACCGATAGCAAAGACCAAAGGAGAGAAGATCCCGAAATCTCGAAAACGTGTAGTCAAAATGCCGACAGTTGAAATAACGACAGTCTAGCCACTATTTGAAGCTTCCGACACCTAATATGCCGACAGCCAAAATATCGAGAATTTGAAACCCCAACCTTAAAAAATTCCGCCAGCTAGAATACCGACAACCTAAATCATCTCCGAAGCAACGAAAATACCGGCGGTGTAAATGGCGGGAAGTCGAAATACCGACACAACGGAAATTTCAATCTAATGCGCCGGTTTTTTGATTGCGACATTTTCTTTGTCGGTATTTTGACTCTCGGCACCCAGAAACGCCTATCTCCTACCAAGAAACCCTAGAAATGATACGCAGTGCGGTACCGAAAGCCAGGGGGTTTTCCGCCACGGGAATGACCAATTTACGGGCCGGTGAAGGGACCCGATTAGCTCTTGGTATCGCGGAAATAGACTAATTCCTCGTATTGAGCAGGGAGCAAAATCCAATTGTTTGAGAGGAATTTGATTTTGTTGGCTGTGTTGGACTGGACGATTCGGCATTTGTGGATGGCGCACTAATGGGATGAAATTAATGGTCATTTCATTAAGAAAATCAGGTTTCTCTAATAATTTTTGGTGGAATCCATTAAAGGGAGAGAAGAGAGTCATGATCCAGCCTTGTTAATCTCTTTTAAAAAAACCTAAAAGACCGAGGGCTAGTTTTAGGATCAATAATTTTTGCCCAGACGAAGGCGAAGAGAGAGAGAGAGAGAGAGAGAGAGAGAGCGACTGCCTATAAATGCACCTGCCCGAGCTTGACGCACAGCTCGGAGACGTCAAGGCCGACGGGCCGGCGGAGGGACTGGAAAGCCGGGTGGCCACGGCCGCGACTGTGTCCGGCGCGCTCCAAATCATCGTGATCCGGGGTACTTTAGCTGGTATCAAATGCACGATCGACTTGCAGTGCCTTCAAAAACTATAGGTCCCCGAGTACGCAGCGCTACGTCCGTACGAATAATTTCAGTAGCAATAGGCAGTCGGGATACGTAGCATAGGTAAGTACGGGTTGGAATTACGGAAGTACGGTAGAGTGGAATAAAAATGCCCAGGAATCCAGAAGTGTAGAAA